TAATGTTAATAGGGCCTAGTACGGCTAGACTGGCAGTCTAGCCGTATTTAAGTACGGCTAGACTTCTTGGCTAGACTTCTTGGCTAGCCGTACTTAATATTGATGGCTGAATTGTAAATGAAATTTTTTTTTTGCAATGCCTGAAGTATTTGTATTTCAGACAAAACCAAAAGGTGCCTTACTGACTTGCATGTATTTGAACCTGAATAATTCCTAGATCTAGATCTAATGAGACCTGTGTACTTAACAGGCTTGAGTCGATAGGGCCAAACCTAGATCTAAGTACGGCTAGACTCTCAGTCTAGCCACTTCGTTCAAGAAAAGATACCATGCAAATCTAGAATTAGACATCGATCTGGATTTTTATGCGAGAAAGTGGCTATTCTCACCCGCCCGGAAGTTCTCGCAAGATCAACTCCTCCCCTCTTCTCTCTCTCTCTGTCTCTTTCTGAATACTGTCTATCGGTGTGGACGATCAAATTGACCAAAACAAAGTTAACCCTCATCCTGCGGGCGCCGGGTTTATGTAGCCCGATAAGCCTATTTCGGCACCTCGCCTGCGTTCTGGTCCCAAGTCAGTGTAGCTCCTGGCTCAGCGCACGCGCAGCGCGCATCCTCTTACGTGCCATTCGGGTCCCGAGTCGGATCCCCATTCACGCAGGTCAAGTGTGTGTGCGTCAGTCTGCTTGAGTTTGTGTGTGTTTGTGGCCTTCTTCTAGAACCACCTGCGTTGGTTCGTAATCGAGGCATACGTCTCATTCAAAACATGCCAAGTTGATAGCTCTAGATGTTCGTCCAATGAAATTATAGAAGAAATTGACCCACTTAGACATGAGGAGCTCGAAAGGAAAGTCATGAAACAAGACTTCCATTTTTCTATACAAAATATTTCAAATGAGCTTGATTTTGTATGAAATGACACTACCTGATAAAAGATGAGCTTGTTTAATAGTTTTGAATGCCCTTGTGCATGTGCAAAGAACAACTTGAGTGTAAAACATTCGGAAATTGACCTAAATTATCCCTTTTCGAACCTCAGGTCATTCATAACAACAAGAGCGTCCAGAAAGGTTATTCAAATGGGCGTAACTACTCGTAATGTCTTATCAGCTTGTGAGAGGGGGTTATTCATGTGTTTGTAACACTTTATAAATAGAATGCTATGAAGGATAGAGCGTTATTTTCATCATCAGTTAACACACTCCCGCGGTATTCATGGCGAAAACACACGTTTCCCGGCGCGCGCGCTGTACACCAACAGCCAACAGCACACACTGAGTGACCCCGGCGGCCTGCCCGGCGAGTCCGACGTAATCGGTTGCTGATAAGATACGCATCTGGGCACAGACGCAGGATAAGAGTTAAAAAATGATGTTAAAACACAAAAGTAAATTAATTTGGTTGTCTACAAAGATGCTACGGCTATTTAACTTTTCGAATCGAGCCGAACTACGCGGGTCGCCATTTTGTTTTGCCCGGAAATTCTCGCACTACTCCTCTCTCTCTTTCTCTCTCTCTCCACTGCCCACAGACAAAATTGTACGCTTTTAGTAGGCTACAATTGTAATGGAACGTTTGTTCATGGCACAGAATTCTACAATTTTTCTGTTATCACAGTGTAGAATTCTGTGGTTTAGGGTGAACGCAAAATTTGGTGAACGCGCACCGGGTGAGAATAGCCACAAGACTCGCCTGCACTATTCTCACTCCGGGTGAGAATAGAGGTGGCCATTATGCGACAGGTCCATTTATGTATAGTATAGGTCTACCATAACTAAATCTAGATCTAGACCACGGCCAGGGCCAAATTGAAACTAACTAGACTAACTGACTCACTGTGATATAACAAAATAATTACTAGATCTATATCTATATCTAGAAGATCTTATTACTACTAGATCTAGAATCTAGATCTAGATTCTATATCTAGTTCTACAAAATCTAGATCTAATACTAAATCTATAATTAATTTCTACTAGATCTAGATTTTCTAGATCTAGATTTAGACACTTGGTCTTGGTAAAATTCTAAGAATTATAGAGTCTAGACTAGAGTAGTCTAGACCTAAATCTAGATTTAGATCTAGATCCCTAGCTTCTTTTATCAGGCCTATTGCTGCGTTGTTTCATGTTTTCGCTCCTTCTATGCCCCGTCCCTGTACCACATAAATTAACTGAATTCTCTCAACTTTCACTTTCATTCAGTATCAGCTAAGCTAAGAGGTGACGAAGAAAACAGCTGAGTCAACTTTGAGACAGTCCAGACATCCAGTCAGACACTAATTATCATCAAGCAATGGCCACCATCACAAACAGAGAAAGGTCCATGGAGATACAGTACTACCTATACCATTTATATAAAACTGGTACAGTGTAAACTGTCTTACCGAACATTCTTAGATGCATGTTCGTCACAGGGTTGAATGAGCCACAGGCCAGAAGTACTACCTTCGTTGAGGAAGTCATATTGCGTGGTCTCCAACACAACATTTTCGCACAGG